AGCATTGGCAACATTTTTGCTATGAAACCAAGCAAGGAGCTAGTGGAAAGAAGTGATCCAGGAACCTCAGAATAGAATAGAATTGTAGGAGACTTAGGACTGCAAGTTGAAAAGAGGCATAGACAAAAATGAAGCCAGCTTAGAACTACAGTGTATACTACTCATGGCCTGTCATCAAGTGGATTAGTGATCCATATTGGAACTTGCTGCTTAAGGTCCAATCATGCCAAAAAATATGTAGCCAAACTTAAAAAGGTGCAAGAATATGAATATCTACTAGACTTGTCCTATTCAACTTTCAACATAATGAAAAATACCCAAATTGTGGAGAAAATATTCATCCCAACGATTATACTTGTCATCCCTAATAAAAAAGCATCAGAATTCAGTTTCAATCAACATCTACACTTGCATATGACCCAGGGCTCACAACTTCCATGCATTTCAAAAATAAGAACAACCTCCAACTAATAACTTTTGCCAAGAATTTGTCAGCAGTTGGAAGAAACTTACCTAATGACACATAGGACGGCAAGCTCACATAGTTCGGACATGAACTTTTTGAAAAGTATGTATCCTTTTCTGTGCCATGAATTAAACAGTTTCGAGGCTGTGGAAAAAAGTCAAAAGATGCATTAACTTTACAGAAAAGGTTAATCATGCACCATTTACATAAGAAGAACAGTTTAATAGAGAATTGCCATCAAACAATATAGTACTGCACAATAAGTCACCATACAAGTCCCCAGACCATGGTCAAACATGGGATTTCCAACTTTAAGGTAATAGCTCTCAAAGTTTAAATAATCAAGGGAGTGAGGGCTTTCAGAATATAGAAGTTTAGAATATAACATAGAAGCCCATCCCTATAGCCAAGGCCACGCAAAAAAGGCCATGTGAGTATTGCCAATTCAAACAAGGGTCAGATAGTAGGAATTTCTAAGAATTTCTAAGTATATGCCTACACAAAGAGAAAGAGCTTAGGATCAAAAGGTATACAGGCTGTCAGCAGATACAGCAGAATCTAACCTTGAAATCCTTATAAAAGCATAAACGAATCTCCTCTATGGCACCTTTTGAGCAAATCACCTCTGGGGTTGCCTGGAAAGAGTTCTCAATAGCAGAGACAATGCCACCAAGAGGATACCTTTCGGTATTAGAAGGCACATATCCAGCTTCATTCAATACTTTCTGTTTCCAAGACATTGTGCAAGATAATTGTAGGTCAGTAAAATTTGACACATATCAAGAATAAAATTCCAATATAATGTTAACTAACATACTAAAACAAACAAGATGGCGAGCAAATTTGATATGCAAAAACATAGATTCTAATCAGCAGTTGAGAACTTGTTCATTTAGAGTTCCAGCTACCACTAGACAGAAATAAACCAAGTAGCTGGGCAGCAAGTATGGTATAGGCAATAATTAACCAGTTTAATTAGCTTAGTAACTTTGTGAAACAGAGATGGTGTTGCATTTTTTCCTAAATTTTTTGGAATTATTTGGTAATAAGATATTGGCTATGATTAAAATGTTCTTCCACACAAGTAAAATTATTTATTATGATTTTTTCACTTCTGCAAATCTCATTTACATATGTGTTGAAGGAGGTTCACCTAATATGCTTGAGACCAATTCATCTTAAACAATAAAAAACTAATCTTCCAGCATGATAAGATTCTGTATCAAAAGCATAAAGAACTAACTATTATTTAAAGGATTGAAGTGGCAACTAAGAGAATACAGAACCGTGTTATCTAGACATGTTTAACCAAATTCAGGCTGGACGTGACTAACCTTTTGACAGACCAAAACCGTCAGTAGGGCATCACATTTGAAACCAAAGACCAATTTAACACTGGTGAAACTGGAAACAAATTGTCAAACCTATTCGACTCTAGTAACTCAGTAACTAATGCAGTTATTTTGAATCTGTTCATCAACATTTCCAGGATAACAAAATAACTATAAGGACAATTGGTGAACATGTAATTTCCAATTGTCAGGTATATTTTCCCTAAAGCCAAGGAATTGCATGTGCATCCCAAAAACAATATTGTGAAATTGTGATCTTCTTGGATAAAATGCCAAACAGCATAGAGTGAAAGAGAGGGATGTCTCAGGGCTTATAAGCATTATCTCTTAAACTTACCGTGACATTATATTTGAAGTACACATTGAGGGTTGTTAAAAAGTAACTGTATTCATCTCGAGCTACTGGAAAGGAACAGGTTCCATGTTTCTCTGCAAGTGAAAAAAATGCAAAATTAGAAGTGGCAAGAAGAAGAGGGCAGATATGTTAACGTTGCCACCTAAATTTTAACTTAACATGGGAAAAGATGTAACCAAATTATTTCTATGATCTTTTTGAAAGTGGCATATTGTACAAAGGTGGACCTCATGCTTATGCACTCAATATAATAGATAACATTTTAAAGAACAATTTGTCTTCATGGATTAACACATTCAACTTTCCAAAAAATCTTTTCTAACAATCCCAGCAGACTTTTAGTATTCATACAGCCATGTCTTCTTTTATCTTTGTTTTAAATTTTTGGTCCAATGCCTGGGTAACAATGTTAGGTATATGTGTTCCCATCCCTATCTTTGATTAGGCTTGAACCAAGATTTAAAGAGAAAAAGTAGAACTCATGATATCAATTCTATAATACGATTAGGGCAAATGGGTGGAGATGATTACCCCACTGAAGTGCGCATCCCCGAATTTGAACATCAAAGCAAGAAGAACAAACTGTTGTTAGTTTCATGTCATTTTAGGGATAACTTAGCAAAACAGGTAATGTAAAACAAAAGGATAAGCACCTCATGAGCCCAGAAGGATCCTTTTCCACTGAAGCAAGTTGATGATGAACCACAACTTAAGGAGGGCCAGTACTTCTCAAGACCATCAAGCAATGTTGAGATCTACATGTATATATCAACATGAATAAAACAGGATAGAAAATTAAATTGAGTGAAAAAGTTAATTCATTCGCTCAGGCAAGGACAATTTTCAGAAAGAGATCACACATTAAACAGAAACACCACATTAAAAATATAGACATGTTTGCCAGACAACATCCTTGTGCATCAAATAGTTCTAAATGAAGCCTTAGCACATTTCACAGGTCAAACTGTTAGATTATTGCGACAGAGGACAAGGCTTCACCTATTTTTCAGTTCCATTGTCTCTTATTATAAGTGTTCAAGGTTCTTCATTTATTGTTTTTCTTTGCTTACAAAAAATTTATTACTCTTCTATCCCTTTTTTTTAATGGAAATATTCTATTTATTCCTTGGTTCTGCAAGCAAATTTCCGAATATGCAAAAGTTGGTGAATCAATCAAACTAGCACCCCTCCTCCTCCACCAAAAGAAAAGAAGAGTTTCAAAGAAATAACAAAAATTATTCACCTCTCTTTCATCAAAACGAGATCTGGTACAACAGGCAGGCCAGGTTCCATCGTTATAATCTGGCCACAATCCATCTGCAAATGCAAAAAGCAAAGAAACAGATTAACATTCTTATCTCATTCCCTCCTGCGGTCATATGAGCTCAATGTCTTAGTTACAGAAAAGCAGAAACCTAAAAAAGAAATACATTTACAATATCAAAGACAAACATCCAAAGCTCAATACTTACGGATTGTAAATTCAGTTGGCGAATTTGAGCTGAAAAAGGAAATTCGAAAGAGAAAAAAGGAAAGAAAACAAAAACCGTAAGTAAGTAGCAGATGAAGTAGATTGTCACCCACGAGAATGAAAAGGGAAGAAGGAATTACCCTCGGCAACAGGCGTTGGAAGAGCAGCAGTGGCGAGTCCCATGGCAGACGGTGCCGGGCCACTGCAGACACAGAGCAAAGTAATCGAATTCCCTCTGCCCTGCTCCGGCGTTGGCATTGGCGTTGGCGTCGAGGATCAGGCAGGTGAAAAGGAGGCAGAGAAGCGTGAGAATGGAGGAAGACGCCATTTTTGGTGCGCTTGTTCTGAGATGGGAAAGTTATAAGATTGGAAGTTAGGTGGGCAGAACCGTAGAAGGATAGGATTGTCATTTCGGTTGCCACATTATTTCGGGGAGGATATGGCCCTGGATGTGCGTGGGAGGGTTTGTTACGGAAGACAGAGAGTTTGAGTTTGTGGAGTTAAGAAATTTGTGTGTTTGTTTCTTTTTCATTAAGTGGAATTATTGTATTTTTTAATATTAATTAGTATTAAAAATAAAAGTTATATTTTTATTTATTTTTAATAAATTTAATTTAATTTTTTAATTTTTAAGATATATATTTTAAATAAAAATTTAATAATTACAAGTTACAAGTTAAAAAATTCATTTCCTCTACTAGGAAAAATATGTCTTATAATAGAAGGATAAGAGAATTTAAGAAGGTTTCTATTAAGGGAAGAGGATGAAGAATTTAACTTAGAAGTCTTCTCCTATTGAAAACTGAGGAGTTTGGGCAACAATGGTCCTATCAAGGGAAAACGTGGTGGGGTTATAGCCACAGATAATTTTGTTAAGCAATTGTTTTGATTGTAATTTTATTAGTTTATAATTTTTTAAATAATTAATTATGATATTTAAAAATATTTTATATAAATTAATTTTATTATATTAAATAATAC